GGCCGCGTTGGACAGGTGCCCGTTTTACACAGTTAAATCATATAGAAAAAATGCAAGGGGGAAATGGAAAGTGGCCATTTGTACAGGTGGCCGTTTTATAGAGGTGGCTGTCAGGGCAGGTTTGACTGTACTGTTATCACTTTTTGTGTTGCTGCTCTTGTCGTTGGAAAAACAAAACTGCGGGTTCTTTTTATAACTATGTGACACCCGTTTACCTGAAAATTTGTTTTTTAAAAATAAATTAAAAAACCTCATCCGAGTGGTGGTGTGGCTTCCTCCTTCTCTCCTATAAAAAAAAAACTATCGTACATCTCTCTCCTCCTCCTTTTTCGGCACTTATATGACCTTCTATTATCTATTTGTGGTGGCCGAATTTTGCTATTCAAAAGGCTTTTTAATGGCTGCATCGATCGACATGCGGTTTTCGCCAAAACATTCGTTAAAATATTCCCCAGAGCCTGGCGCCCTTGGTTTTTTTCAGTTTTGAGACAGTTTTCCTGCAAAAAGCTAAATTTCTTTATTTCGCCGATCGCTTTTGTTGGCCGACGCGTCTGGCTCGGTAATTTTAGAAAATCCGGAAGTGATATTTCGCGAGGCGCATTTTGTTTTGAGAGTGTAGATCTAGACCTTCTATTATTGCCCCATTCCAGTAGAGTGTAAATATAGTAGGCCAATGACTTTTAGTTGATATTAAAGCACCGATCATTCCTTTCATCGAAAGGGGGCCCGGCTAGTATTACCTTAAGTGCAGTAAAACTCTTTCTAAAACTGAACTAAACTTCCCCAATCCACGACACCCCCCCCCTCTCCCACCCTCCCACGGGTCAGATTATGGAGCAGACTCACGAGTCCCCGAACATCAAGGCCGCGTGTCACGTGGACGGTCGCCTGGACGCCCTGCAGAGCCTGTCGTTTGGCCTGGAGAAGTGCCAGAAGTCTCTGAACGACTACCTGGACTCCAAGAGAAACGCCTTCCCTAGGTGAGTCAGACCGCGGAGCGGAACCGGTGAGTGAGACCGCAGAACCGGTGAGTGAGACCGCGGAACCGGTGAGTGAGACCGTGGAACCGGTGAGTGAGACCGCGGAACCGGTGAGTGAGACCGCGGAACCGGTGAG